TTTCCATGACGAACCGAATCCCCGCACTACGATCCCTGGGTGCAAGTTTGAGTACAAGATCAATGAGGTCGACGTGGTCATCGACATGCATTCAGCCATCATCGCTGGCTGCGAGCTCTGGCCCGGTGAACAAGGGGCCATCATGCGCCCCCGGATCGCTCCTCCAATGGCCATCCTGGCCATCAGAATGGTCGGGGGCGGCCCTCTTTATCCAGACATGGTTGCGACTTGGCAGTATCCGGAGTTGACCGAACTCTCGGCGCCACGCAGCCAGCACGAGGTCTGCGAGATTGTGCAGGCGGCAACGCCTGCAGCAGAGCAATTGCGGACGTGCATCCCGACGCCACGCCCTAAGCGTGGAAGATCGTGGACGATTTCAAGAAGGAGTTCTTCGAGCCACTTGTGAAGACACTTCCTCTTGGCACCTGGGGCCGTTGCAGTCGCTTTCGAGACGTCCGTGCTCGTGACTTCACATGCGCACGACTGCCTGGCACTGCCCGCTGCCGCGCCGTAGATCGCCTGTGGCCAGCGAAGAAAGATGTCACAGTCGCGCTGGGAAAAGGGAAGATCTTCGGACCCATCATAGACGTTGTTCACAATGGACCATGCGCCAGCGCGCAGATCCCGCGCCAGGGTCATGGCCCACTCTGGGCCAACATCTGGCACTCCGAGAAGAATGACGACCAGAACGGCTTTCCATTCTCAGTACCACTGCATATTGAGCTGCCTGAATGGTGAACTGTCAATTTCATTTCATACGATATTTACATGCACCTTGGGCTCATCGACGACGATATTGCCGTCGACGCGTCGGTGGAAACCCCCGCGCTCCACGAGAACGGCAACCGGGACATCAAGATCGATGAGACGAAGCTGATTACGACGGTCGAAATCATCGAGGACCTGCCGTCCATCTTGGGGCGACTTTCGCATGTGGAACTGATGAACCTCCGTGCGAATGGCAGGAATACGCAGGGTATCTCGACGTTGGTCACCCCATTGTGCGAGGTGGATCAAATGTGCACGGCAACATACATATATATTTATATATATATATACACCACTACGACAGTCATCTCGAGATACGGTTCCGCTTCGAAGGCAGATTGGTACACTATGACTTTTGACCTTTTTAGTCCATGGGTCAAGCAACTGCCGAACAGTTGTGGCCACAACCGGCTCCTGTCTACGATGATGACGGAGATGTATGGGAACGATGCTGAGGATTTCGTACTCCCCCTTTGGATGCCGCATCTTTTCGCCATCATACAGAGCGATGCCACTCTTCGTTTGGTGGGCACCACTGACTCGGACGTCCTCAAGCATCGCCCCGCTTTGGCGTTCCTCCTCAACCTCAACGAAACGACGGTGCCGTGCGATCCGAAGTACAGTGACATGATGACGGGCCCGATGACAGATGATTTCAATCTCAGGGCTGACGCCACTCCGCCACCTGCTGAAGCTGACGCCCTTGCCACTGACCCTGGAAGCATCGCGTCGGCCGTTGCTCCTACCCACGAACAACTCATGGACGTGTTGCGCACCGACTATGACGATGGCATGGGCGACGCCAGCGACCAATATGCACTGGACCATGAGCTTCGCCGCAGAGCGGAGAAACTCCTGCGAGATCATCAGGGCACGGCCTTAGCACACCATGATCGCGACCAGATCATGGCTGGGGATCTCTCTGATCCGATGACCGATATGGGACTTGAGTGTTTGGCCAACGATCTGGACACCGATCGCGCTCACCTCGTCCCAAATCATGCTGTTCGTGAGATTGGCCGGAAGTTGAGCGCTGGTGGCAACGTCCGCAGTCGCATTCAGGATATCATTGAGAACGGAGCGGCTGACTTGCAGACCGCCAAGCGCCATTGTTCTAGCTGCTGCCGCGACCTCCCCAATAACGACACATGCGAAGATGACCTGTGGCACGTGCACTGAGTCATTTAGACACGGGGGAACAGGCGAGTTCCAGGTTCGATTCCTGGCAGACGTGCGCAACTGGATCCGCGAACAAAAAGACGAGAACATCGTTCGCCAGCTTAAGCGGGCGGACGTCCAGATTCGCATCCAGGGGCAGCTTTCTGAAGCTGCCGCCGAAAAGGACCACCCACGCAGACTGGCTCACAAAGCCGAGGTCCGACACGCTAAATGGCTGGCGGCCGGCAGTCCGACACCCGGCCAGTGTCGCATCGGTGGAACAGAAGACGCTAACAAAGAGGGCGCAGTCCTCTACCATCCGTTCCCCGACCTCGCCTCCCGGTTTCAGGAAGACGCGGTCTTCCACAGTGAGATGCCGAGGCAAGAATTTTCAAGCAACAGCGATCGTTCACGTTGGAGGACATGTATCAGGGCATGCGATTGCACCATGTCAGCGCGCAGTCTGGCCATGCGGGCCGGCGGGCACAGGCTCCCGGAGCGTCGCCTCGCGGCGAACGCCTCGACCGCTGATTCGCGACCTTCCCAGCCCCCTCTGGGAGAGGACAAGGTGGCGCGAGCCGGGTCACGCTCAGCGAGCTCCGCCAGCAGGCGCCCAAAGGTGCCGCGAAGGGTAACGAAGGCGACTTCTCAGTTGCCTCTGGCGAACCCATTCGCCTCGCCCCTGCTCCTCCACCTCCGCGCCGCGATGCCCCCGCCGCTGCCTATGCTCCAGGCGGCGCTGGCTGGGGCGGCGCCGCTGGCTGGGCGGGCGGCGCCGGCCCCTCGTCGACGTCGCTCCGCCCCCTCGCGCCGCCAAGATGGGCGCCCGACAACGCTGAAGAGCGCGGCCGCAGCAGGGGCGCCGCGCGCGAGCGCCGCAACATGTAAACCTGGTGGCGTCGTGATCTCCAGCGCTACCAGCACGACGCGTATCTTTACTGGTACCACTTCCTGTCCAAGTGGGTCTATGTCGACGGAAACGGTTGCGAGTGCATATGGTCATGGGGCAACTACAGGACCATCACCATCAGCTGGTTCAGTGACAATGGAAATCGCCTTTGGCATGAACGCTACTACGAGACATTTGAGACGTGGATATTGATTGACGTAGTTTTATTTCCCATTGATATATTTTTGTTCACCATTGATCGTAGAAGTGATTTTGAAATCATTACGTTGGACATTCACTTGTATATTGAGACAAACCGACATGTGTGTGATTTGATTCGATGAATGTGACATTTCACTGTATACAGATATTGATTTTAGCTTACACTATACACTCTGGCAGTTGGGCATGAACGCGCCCAGGCAGGTCGCCCGCCTGTCTTATTATGCATGTCATCGGCGCCTGTTTTATCATGGGACGGCGTCCGCGCACGACCGATGAGTAGCAATTCCCCATGATCCTACTTCGCAATTACGTTTCGAAATACCTCGGGGGCCTGGAGTGCCTCACATCATGTATGATATATTATCAGGGGTGAGTTGTCCTCACAACTATCCTAATCCCTGTTGCACTTGGGCCTGGAGCGCCCTGACAATAGTTTGGGCCTGGGGCGCCCCGTGAATGAGAGCTACGTTACTTTGATCAAGTTGCCGTCGCAACTTCGACCCGCTTGTCCCTTTGCGTCTGCCGTGTCGGTGGCAACGCCTGCGTCGAAGGATGCTGGTGCCACTTCGCTGCTTCTTTTTGCATTGCTCTCCCGTCCCTGTCACCTGTGGGTGACGGAGTGCCGCCCAGGAGTGCCGAAGCGTTTTGGGGGTCGCGCCCAGGGCCCGCTAAGTCGGGGAGACACTCCTACGCGCCCCGCGTGACGGGGGCGGTGCATTCTCTCGCCTTTTTCCTAGCCGACGCGCCCGCGTTTGGAGGGGCGATGGATAAAACGGGGTTGCGAGTGGACCTCGCACCTCTCGCACCCCGCGGGCCCGAGGCCGTCGGGAGCTGGCGGGTCTCGGGGCGGGGTGTGCGCGTGAAGTCCGCCCGCTCCCCTAGTATCCCCCTTCTTCCGCAGCGGTATTGGCCCGAGGCGCTGCAAGGCAACAGCGGTGCACTGCCCTCCGCGCAACGCTCTGGAAAAAGGGAGTCCTACTCCTCGCCTCCACCTGCGGATCCCGTATAGGAACGGCCCCTCGGCCGTCTCCCTTTTCGCGCATTTTCCTCCTCGTCGTCGTCGTCGTCCTCCTCCTTCCTCCTCCTGGGTTCGTCCTCTTCACCCTTCCTCCCTCCGCTCCCTGTCCCCCCCAGGGTTCAGTTCGATGCGATTCGATTCGAGCTCGGCGGCTCCCGATTCCGATTCGATTCGACTTCGGATTCCGACTTGGATTCCGACTTCTGAGTGGAAGCTTGTTGGCCTCCCGATTTCCGCCGATCCGATCCATGTCGATCGCCGGTCCGACTTCGATTCGATTATGCGCTGTCCTGCCTTCCTCCCTCCGCTCCCTCGTCCCCTGCCCTCCTGCATGTCCGCTGTGCGAGTGTGTACTACCCGCCGCCCAAACCTTGTCTTCGTGCAGTGGCTGTGTTCCCCTGCGCACCTGCATTCGGCGTGCCGTGTTCCTCTCTTCTGGGCCTTCGTTTTCGACCGTTTTTTCTTGTCTTCCGATGCGTCGTCTAAGCGCGGTTTCTTTTTGTCTTGCTTATCTTCATCCCCATCCCCATCTAGACCTCCACCATCTCAGCACCCGAGTTGGGGATATACCCTTCGAGACTCGAAGGAAACAACCGATATCCCCATTTATGGGGTAAATCGGCCCGTGGGGCCCAGATCATGTTCAAGGGGATGGGGGTCGGTTGAACGATGCTCAGGTAGACGGGATACCGACGTGCCATGTTTATCCGAGGGGTCGGCGGTGAAATCCGAACCTTGCCATGGCCGATTTACAGCGCAGGCAACTCGATGGGCGGCGGGGGTAGGGTTCGGAATTCGTCGCACACGTTGCGGAGCAATCGCCGCCTCCACTTATCCCCACCTCTCATCGATTTAAGAGAATCGGTGGTCGGTGGAAGTATAGTTCGTATGTCGCCACCCAGGATAAACGGATGGAGGGAGGGAAGGATGACGGTTTGAGATTTTCTAGCGTTTTCGGCGGTTCTCGGTGGCTTCCCAGCCTCGGGGTGCCTTCCAGCGGCTGCGCCTCGCCGACGGCGTTCCGGGGGGGCCCAGATCTTTCCGAGCGGGCGCTGGAGAGCCGAATTTTGACCCGAAAACCCACAGGCACGGGGACATGCTCATGGGGGGACGCATCTTGCTGGAGGGAGTGAAGAGGGTGAGGGATGTTCCCCCCCACGCCCCCCGAGGTGGCGGACGGCTCGCCCTCAGGGGCCACGCCGACGATCATTCTGCACGCCTGGCGGCGCCCCCGCTCTCAACGTCGTTCCGATTGCCCCCCCCCCCCCCTGTGATGCCATGATGACGATGGCGATGATGGTGATGGTGATGGCGATAGTGGTGATGACGATGATGACGACGACGACGCCTGCGATGATGATTATGATGATGCTGCTGCTGATGATGATGATGATGGTGATGGTGATGGTGATGATGATGATTATGATGTTGACGGTGATGAAGATGATGATGATGATGATGATGATGATGATGATGATGATGATGATGATGATGGTGTTGATGCTGCTGATGGTGATGATGCTGAGCATGATGATGATGAGGATGATGATGTTGATAATGATAATGATGATGATGGTCATTATGAAGTTGTTGATGATGATGGTGATGCCGATGACGACGACGATGACGATGGCGATGACGATGACAATGATGTTGATGTTGATGTTGATGTGGAAGATGTTGATGATGCAGATAATGATGATCGTGGTGATGGTGATGATGATGCGGATGATGTTGCTGATGGTGGTGAGGATTATGTAATCGATGATGATGCTGAGATGTCTTTTTATGCTGGTGCTACTGCTAAGCCGATGTTGCTGATCATTATGCTCATGGTGATGATGGTGACGATGATCCTGAGGATGATGATGACCATGTTGATGATGAGTTGGAGGATGATGATGCGGATGCTGGTGGTGACGGTGGTGACGATGATGACAACGATGATGGTGATGATGTTGATACTGGTGACGATGTTTCTGCTGCTGTTGATGATGATCCTGATGTTGAAGAAGGTGATGAGCGTACTGATGGTGGCGACAATGATGATGCTGATGCTGATGGCGATGGCGATGATGGTGATGATGGTGGCCACGATGATTATGCTGATGATGTTGACAATTCCGGCGATCATGATGACGATTACAAAGGTGATGATGTTGATGATGATGTTGATGATGATGATGATGATGATGATGATGATGATGAAGCGAGTGCCGCTTCATGTGATGAGGCTGTTGCTGATGTTGATGATGACGACGATAACATTGGTGATGATGATGATGCTGAGGAGGGGGAGGAGGAGGAAGAAGACAAGAGGGAATATCATACTAATGATGACGATTGTGATGATGGTTGTGGTGATGTTGGCGCCGCTGATGACGGTGATCAAGATGAATAGGGAAATGACGACGACGTTGACGAAGGTGATTCTGATGATGACGATGGTGCTGCCGATAACGTTGCGATGATGTCGATGGTGATCATTGTGGTGGTGATATGACTGTGATGGTGATTGTGGTGATTGTGATTGTAATGATGATGATGATGATTGTGGTGATGATGATGATGTTGATGTTGATGTTATTGTTGCTGTTGTGGTTGTTGCTGTTATCGATGTTGTTGATGTGGTGATGATGATGCTGATGATCATGATGATGATAATGCTGATGGTGATGATGATGATGATGATGCTGATGATGATGATGATGATGATGATGATGATGATGATGATGATCTCGCCTGCGCTCTGGTTGCCCCTCCCCTTCAGGGACATCGTCAGGGTGGGATCTGCTCAGGGGGGGCTGCGTTGCCGAGGTTAGAGGTTCCAGTTGTTCGAACGTTTTCTTTGATTCTCGGCGGCTTCGCAGCCTCAGGGTGCTCTCCAGCGACTGCGCCTCGCCGAGGGCGTTCCCGGGGTGCCCAGATCGCCCCGAGCGGCCGCCGAGGAGCTGAGCTATGACCCGCAAGCCAGGGGGCAACCGCAGGGCAGGGTCTCCATTGATCGCCGACGGGGGGGTGCAGTAGCCCACCCCGCCCAAGAGCGGGCGGCTTCATTATCGGAGGCCTACTGCCGATCTCTCGGCGATTCATCGCCGAAAGATCGGCGCCGAAAGATCGGAGACACATTGCCGAGTGGAGCCCTGAGCTGATGCCCCCCCCAATTCGTTTCCCACCCATCCCTGCCAGTGGGCGAGCAGCAACAAGCGGCATTAGCGTACATCCAAGGCGCTGACGTGAGGACCACTTCGGGCTCGGGAGGGGCTCCCGACTGCAGCGGAGACCTATGCCAAGAAGCACCTTGCTTGCCTCCAGGGTGCCCATGGTTCCTTGGGTTTCGATGGTTTTGCTGTGGAAAAGCGCGACGTCCCCCGCACCACGAATCAATGGACGTCCCGGGGTCTCAGGGTGGGGTCTCTCTTGTGGAAGGTTCCTTGTGGTCGAGCCCCTGCTGCAGGCACGCATCCGAGGCGCTGGAATGAGGACCACTTGTGGCTCGGGAGGGGCTCCGGACTTGGGCCGTTCCCCGGATGCGGGTCGGGGAGCCGATCCGTGGCCGAGGCCGGCCGTGGGCAGCCGACGGCGGGGTCTCCGTGGCGGGCTCGACCGCTCGAGGCCCCAGCGAGGCGTGGCAGCGGCTGGAGCGCCAGGGAGCGCGCGCTCTCGAGACGTGTGCGGCAGACGTTATCGAGCACGGTGGCTACCGTCGGACCGAGGTGCAAGCTCGAGGTCGGTTCGGGGAGGGTACCCTGGTGTTCTCCGTGCCTGTCGGATGTTTCTGTGCATCCTGGGCTGGGTATCCTTGGCTGTTCTGTCAGTTTGGCCGACGGAGGGCCTCGGGTTCTTGCGGGATGTTCTTCTGGCCCAGGTCCGACTGCCCAGTTGTAGCCAGTGTCACCGCCACCATGCTAGGCCTCCCAAGCGGGGTCCGAGCATCGACGAGGCATCGACGACGTGGCTCGATGTGGGGCCAAAGTCTCTCCACGCCGATGGCGCCGATGCATCGCCGACGTCGCCGATGCGTCGCTAATGCATCGCCAATGTATCGGTGGTGCCTTGTCGATGCGGTGTGATATTCTGGCCCCATCTAGAAGACCCCTCTCTGGGAGGCCTCGTGCACGTGAAGTTCGAAGTTTGCGCAAGTTGCATCAACATAACTCTCAGAGCTCTGACGAGTCATGTTTGTGTTTTTGTGCTTTCTCCAGATGTGCCCCAACGTATGGGGAAACGCCATCACCACCACCATCGGGCACACGGTGCGCCCACGATTGTTGTGGCGATGGCCATTGCGGTAGACATGGTTGGGGAGACGATAATGGGTGGTGAATTGATCGACGAGGGGCAGTGCACAGAGGGGCCCCGATGCTGCGTGTAACGGCGATCCGATCAGATTTGGTGAGATTCTCGATGGTGATGATGAGGATGAGGATGAGCATGAGGATGAGGATGAGGATGAGGGTTAGGTTGAGATTGAGGATGGGGATGAGGATCAGGATGGGAATGAGGATGAGGATGCGGATGGCGCAGAAGGTCCGAGGATTTTGGCGTTGTACTGTTTGTTTCCGGTCCGACCGAGGGGAGAGAGAGAGAGAGAGAGAGAGAGAGAGAGACTTTCCTCCGATCGGCCTGCCAGGGCTTTCCTGACACAATCCACCCCGCCCATAGGCTGGAAGCTTACAGACGAGTTTTCTGGTGCCAGCCCGGTGGAAGCTCAGGCGTTCCCTCGAGAGGCAAGCTGCTGAAGCTCGGGAGGACATGCGTGCCTGGCCTCAAAGACCCTGGACGGAAAATGGGGAGGGCGTTGCTGGAAGGGAAGCTTCCTCCTGATCTGAAGGCTTGGCCTGAATTATCAGAAGCCTGGGCCACCTCCCGCCGCGGCCTCAGGTTCCAGATGTCGCCCCTGGTACCTGAGATAACAGAATCTGACGGAGGTGGCCCAGGATCTTTCATTTTCTGCTTTTGGTGGCGTACTTCAATGGACTTTTCCCCGAAGGCAGGCAACATGCAAGATGAGGAGGAGCATGATGATGAAGATGAGGATGAGGATGAGGGTAATGACGATGATGCTGATGATATTGCTGCGGATGACGATGATGCTGATGATGATACTGCTGCTGCTGATGATAATTATAATGACGGTTCTGATGATGATGCTGATGAAGATGAGAAAGAGTACGTTCTGTAGGCGCTTGGAGGGGGGGGGGTCGGAGCTGAGCCCCCCCTGGATTCAAGGAGGGCAGGGGGGGTCGAACCCTCCCCCCCTCACCAGGGGGATGGGGTTGAACCCCCTTCCCCTCTCCCCCTGGGCGGACGCTGGCGCCGGCGCTGGCCGGCGGCGGCGGCGGGCAGCGGCGGCGACGATGACAACGACGACGAGCACGACGACGACCACGACGACGACGACCGCAACGACAACGACGACTACGACGACAATGACGACTACGACGACGACGACTAGAACGATGACGACGACAACAATAACGACGACGACAACGACGACGACGGTGACGACGACGACGATGACGACGTCGACGACGACGACGACGAGCAGGCCGGCGACGACGACGTTGACGACGGTGACGACGACGGCGACGACGATAGCGACGACGACCACGACGGCGACGGCGACGACGACGAAGACGATGGCGACGACGACGACGACAACGGCGACGGCGACGATGACGAGCACGACGACGACGACGGCGACCACGACGGCGACGGCGACGACGACGACAACGGCGACGACGACGACGACGAGCACGACAACGACGACGACGACGACGGCGACCACGAAGGCGGCGACGACGACGACAACGACGACGGCGACGACGACGACGACGAGCACGACCGCGACGACTGCGGCGACGACGAGGACGACGACGACGGCGACGACGAAAACGACGACGACGACTGCCGTGACGGCGACGACGACAACGGCCACGACGACGGCGACGACGGCGATGAAGACGACGACGGCGACGACGACAACGACGACGACGAGCAGGACGATGACGATGACGGCGACGGCGACGAAGACGGCGACGACGGCGGAGACGACGACGAGTCCGATGACGGCGACGACGGCGACGACGGTGACGACGAATGCGAACACGACGTCGACGACGACGACCGACGGCGACGACGGCGACGACGACGAGTACCAGGACGACGACGACGGCGTCGACGGCGACGTCGACGACGACGACAAAAAAGGCGGCGACG